CTATATTGGATTCGAGAGTTTTGACTTTAAGGCTGCAATCTCGAGCTTCTTCACTAAACTGTTACATTACATTTACATTGGGGGGATACTTATGAATTGCAGGAATTGCATGAAAACTTAAGCGGTTGATTTTCTCACCCCAAAGCGGCCCTCGTGAGAAGGGGCATTCGCAGACCTCCTGTTCCTCTCAAAAACTCAGGAGCAACGTCTCTTCGTGTGTCCCTTAATCTTCCCCGACTTGGAGGGAATTGGATTCCAATCCCCATTATTCTCAGCCGGCGGAGCCACGTTAATGTGCTGGCTAGAGGTGAAGCAGGTCGTAATCCAACACGCCGAAGAGCTTCCAGACCGAAGTTCTGTCCATGCACTGCGGTACTTCCGAAGTAGATCAGCGTAGGTCATCTGCTTCTTTTGGTGACTGGGACCGCGAAATGCAAGTCTCACCCTTTCGTCACGTTGGTGAGAAACTTAATCGAGAGTCGAGCTAGATTGGAGAGCGTTTTTATTTTTCTGCGGGCGAGTGAAGCATCGTTGGGCAAGTTCGGTCTGTGGGGCTGAGAGGGAAATGTATGGCTCTGGGGTTGTGGTTGAAGTTCAGCTCCTGTCAGCCCTGGTCGGTATGGCCAATGGTGATCTATCATGCGGGAACGTTTGCATTTGTTTCTGCATTAAATTGTATGTTGAAATGTCATGCATTTATTTCTCTTTACCCCATTCCCTGGTACAGTATTATGAGCGTAGGGAAATAGGGGAGGTTTTGAAAGTGTTGGACTTAACGACTGAACAACAACAACAACAAAAAAGAAATTAACTTGTTTGATTAGAGAAAGATCAACAGCCACATTTATCAGTGACTGGAAACCCCTTATGGACTTTTTGCTGAAAAAAGAGAAAAATTTGTGATTTATGGGTTTGAGGATTAGAAAAGGTAGCTTATGGAAAGAAGGAAATTATGATGTAACCTTAGAGAGAGGGGGTAAAATATAAATGCATTTATAACCACTGGCAAAAAGATTGGAAGCCACTTCTTTATCATCTCTTCTCTCTTTTTCCATACTTTTTCTTTTCTATTTCTATTTTCTTTCTTATTCATTATCCTTTCTTACAGTATTTTCTTTGTTTCTTTTCTAATACTAGTCTTGTTTTTATCTTGTTAAAATTTTCTTTAATAAAAATTATATTTTTAAAAAAGGACTAACTAAACAGAGTTCACATAATTGAAACAGTTACATGCAGTAATTCTTCCCCTATTTACTCCAGTTCTATCTCTCTGCTTTCTCTGTTGTAAGGTCATATGGAAAGAGATCTGTCCTTATTTATTTGGTAAGAACCAGGCCCAAAATTAATGAATTTAATATTAGAGCTGAATGTTAATCACAGAGGAAAGTTAGCATCAGGTGTCCTTTGCCTTCATCTTTTCCTGTAACCAAAAGACTAACCAAGACATAGGTTGTAGCTCTTTGTATGAGAATGTCTTTCAAAAACGATTTCAATGTGCTGTATTGCCATTTTAAAAAATTATTATACATTTCTATTAATTATTCTCTGCTTTGAGTTTTTTAAACATTAAAAGGTAATTTTTGTAAATAAATAGCATTTGGGATAATGAATGATTGATCAGGGAAAATGGCTTTCTGTGTAGGATGGAAATAGACCAGCTTGCCAACCAGCAAAAGAACATCAGACACTGCAAGTGGCCCTCAAAACATTTGTTCTTAAAGTAGGGGACGAGTAATTATTCTGGAATCACCTTTTGATTTTTATGATCATGAGTATGGATTCTTTCCCATGCAGCCCCTGTCTTCCTTCATAATTATGGAGCAAGGAGGTTCCTGCTTTGAGTCAGAACTTGATTTTTGTCCTGAGTGTGGTACTGTCCTGCCCCTGCCAGGTATCCAGGATAAGGTGGTATGTCCCTGTTGCTCTTTCTACATTGATGTACAAGGTAAGTTCTGTTTTGTAGGTGTATGTTCTTCCAGGAACGTTCAAATTCATAAGGTCCAAATTCTAAGCATACTTTTCAGAGCTCTTTCATTGAAAGTGATTGGTAATTACTTTCCATCTTTCCCATCTGAGTTCATTCATTTAAAGCTTCCACCATTTATTTGTGCTTTTGAAGCAATGAGTGAAATCTTACTTTAATGCACCATTTGGGGGAGGGGTGTTTATTACTCATGAATGCCCATTAAATTGGAAAGTATTTTATTTTATTTATTTTCTTACAAAAATTAAGTGCTCTCTGACTCCCCAGACTCTGCATCCCCATGGCAATTTGCATTATTTGCATAATGGTGTAATGAAAGTCACAAATCACATCATTTGCACCAAATTTATTCATTTGCATAATATCTTTTGCACATTTGGGTTACATAAATGATAGAAACGGATGCAGATGACATCAACTGCCTTGTTCAGATTATGCTGCTTTTGGGGGCAGGAGTTGGAATGTCTGGATGGAAATCTGATCCAAAATCTTGTAATATGTAGTAGTTTATAAGACTTACAGGAGCAATTTTTGAATATCAGATTTTTATTAATATTTATATAATATCCTTCAACTGAAGGCTTGCAGGCAGTAAATAAAAGCAAGACAGTTGCAACTTATTAGTTCTAAGCTAATAATCTGAAAATTATTAGGAATAATTTTTCTAATAGGGAAAAATTACAAAAGGATTGTACAAAAGGAAAAAGGGACTAGAAGGGAAGAGGAAAAATCACAAGCACCAGATTCTTAAAGTTAAATTTTTATCTATCTATCAATCAATCAATCAATCAATCATTTATATAGCCGCCCATCTCACAAAGCGACTCTGGGCGGCGTACAACAATTAAAATAAAATAACAAGTGAATAAAAACAGGCATTATAAAAAGATGAAAAGTTATTATTAAAATAGAAACAGTATCCCAATTTTTTAAAAAGATTTTAAAAAAGATTTTAAAATATAGAAACCCCACGGAGAGAGCAGAATATCAATTACAATGGAGCCATCTAAGAATGTCTCCGGTTTCCAAAGACTCCCAGGCCTGATGACACAACCAGTCTTGAGGGACTTCGAAAACAACAGCAGGGAAGGGGCAAGCCTCACTTTAGGGGGGAGAATTATAGTCAGAAATGTTTCAGAGAAGTGGGGGGCTATGAGAAATGATCAAGCTGCCCTGTTTCTCATATTACCTCTCTCTTCTGCAGCTTGATAATGTTGCTAGATCGATCTTTTGTGGTTTCTGCAAGTCAAGCAGTGTGGGATGGGTTGAGGTGGTGTTTTACAACAGGTCATTCGGAGGTCCGTCACTGTGTCAGGGAGCACCTTTTGCCCCACCCATTGCCATCATCTTGTTCACTGTTCTTCTCCAAACCATTCTTTGATCTTTGATTTCAACCCTCTCTTTCCTACCCGTTCCATTTTAAAATAATGCAAAATGATCGGTTCTTTTCATGTTTAAATATGAAAACATGGTGTTTGCTCTGAGTCCTTAATGTGCTTAATTCTTCAAAGCAGCAGCAGATGAGATCAGAGTGTATCACTTATGATTAGAGTATGTCATTTCATAAAGAGCACAATAGTCTATGCAAACAAAAAAATGATACAAAAAGTCCTTGGTCTAGAAAACTAGTTGTCAGGGAAAGGCTCTAATTTAGTCCTCTTCCTGACATCCTAGATTTTTATATGTTGGAAATAACACAGCTTTAGTCATCATATGTTCCACTTCAAATTGTGAGAATGTAAGGAATATTACAGGAAATTTAGAGCTAGTTTGGTGTAGTGGTGAAGGCACCAGGCTAGAAACCGGGAGAGTGTGAATTCTAGTCTTGCAAGCTGAAAATCTTGCCAAGAAAACTTCAGGGACTAATCTAGACAGTTGCCAGGAGTCAACACTGACTTGAAGGCACATACAAAAAAGGAAATGTACAAGCTCAAATTAATGAGCATTCTTCTCAATTATCCTTCATACATTTTCTTCTTTACACAGATTTTGAAAAAAAAGTCATCCATACATCTGTCACATTCAACAAAATAGATTCCACTTCTTTGACTGCAGAGGAAGGAAAAGAAGTTAAGGGTCCACTGGTGAGTGAATGAAAAGACCAGTTATTGGTTCAATAATCAGTGGCTGAGACTTCTGAAAATAAGCATTCTTTTTCTACCAAGGGGGGGTGAAGAACCTGTTGAATTATTGCACCTAAGTAGGTTGCAGTCCAAGCCTTTTTTACTGCTCTAGCCTACAAGTATTGAATTTCCATTCCGCCAGCTGAGGCAAGCAGAAATCACCCAAATCCTTCATGATCAGTAGCAGCATCACAAGCATGTGGTAAAATGTCATAATACTGTCACTGACGTTTTAGTTCTGTGTCCTGGTTATCTGTGTTTAAAAGGAACCTGCATCAACAATTAAAAAGGATGAAGCAAAGATTTATGCATGTCCCTTCAGTAGCTCAGCTGGTACCGCAGAGGACTATAAAATATGCTGGAAGGCAGCCTTAGGTCACTGGAATAAGTGTTTTTTGCTTGTGAGACAAAGAGACAGATTTCTCACAAATTGTGTCATATAGCTTTTTAAGAAATGAGTAGTTTTTTTTAAAAAAATAATTTTATTAAATATTATAATTGCTAATCCGTTATAATTGTATTATAACTAATACAAACTAAAAGAAAGAAGAGTAGAAAGAAAGAGTAAAAAGTGCAAACGAAAAGAAAAAAACATAGGAAATAGAAAGAAAAGGAAAAAAATAAGAATATAGTAAAGAAAATTAAAAAAATATATGAAGAAGTAATTTCTAACCTTCATCACAACAAGTATAAACAATTTTAGTAACTTTTCGCCTCCTCTTAATTTACAATTATCTCTTCATCCCATGTCCCATCTCTTATCTATAAACAAATCCATAAAGCATCATCACTTCAGTCCTGGTGTCAGCAAAAGTCCGTTAAGGGTTGCCAGAAATAATATGATGTAGTTTAACCTTGATCAAATAAACCAATTTTATATTTCTTCCTTTTTCTGCTAACAATCTTAATCTTTAGTCCATTCAAGTAATGTCGTAGAATGTGATATTCATTTCTTTTTATCTCACAAGTTTCATCCAAGCTTTAACAAACCTCTTTTGTAAATCCAATATTAAAGAATTATCTAGGTCACTTCTCTTGGTTTATTATTTGTAATTCCCTTTTGATTTTTAAAGCATCAACCAATTTCTTTTCTACGTCCAATGAAACATCTTTTTCCATGTTATTCTTGTAGCCTGTCATTTGTAAATTCACTTTCAGTGCCAACTCAGTCTCTGTTGTCAAATAAAACTTCTGAACTTTTGCCATTTCTTCCAAAACACAGTCTATCCGTAAAAGCCAACATTGCTATTGACATTGTTGATATTAACTTCTGATTCCATTTTTCAGAAGTATCCTTCAGTATTTCCAGTGTTACACTATGTTGCATCATTCTGTAGCTGTTAATCAGGTTTATGTATTCTTCTCCTTTAATTAAAATCTTTAATTCCCTCTATTGTCCAATTTTTAAAATTGTTTATCTTCTTTATGTCTTAGAAAAAATTCAAAACAAGTCAACTTTTCCATGGGAAAGATTCTTTATAATTAATACCAAAATCTTATTTCAAATTTATCTGGACCCTTAATCCATTTATAACTTTCTAAAATCAAAGCCTTAATTAGCTTTTTGTTGTTTAGACAATCTGGATTAGCTGCAGAGAAGGGAAAAGAACAAGAGAGTAAAAATGAATTCCTTTGAAGAGAAGTCGAGTGAACCTAGCATGTTTACCCTTGAGGAAAGACCAACTCAGTTCTTAGATTTTTAAAATCTAAGGGGAGGTTACTCAGGCTTTTGTATAAGCTTGTATAAGAGCACCTGAAAGACTCTGCGGACTTTATTCATAGCCAAAGACTAACAGAAATAAGTCCTCAGTTTCTCAGTTGTGGAGCACCTTAAAGATTCTGCCATACCAACATCAGAAGGTTTACTGACGCTCATTCAGTTCACTTCAATCTTTTCAGATTGACAGAAGATGTCCTCAGTGTGGGCATGAGGGCATGGCATACCATACTCGACAGATGAGATCTGCAGATGAAGGACAGACGGTTTTCTACACCTGCGTCCAATGCAAGTAAGGCACTATCTGCTAAGAGCTTGTATATTGTATATTGTGATGACTAGGGGTTTGAGTCACTGTATGTTACACCTGTTTTGTATCAGCTATATTGTCTGCTTATTTCAAGACTCAATATAAAATGCTGGGATTAGCCCTTAAGACCCTAAACCATTTGCGATTTATATATTTTACTATTTTATTCAGGGATTATCTAAATCTATACATGTCTCCCCAAGAATATGAGAGCCTGCTTTCTCATCTACCAGTAGAAGCTGTGAATGGTGGTACCAGAGGTAGAGCTTTTTCTGTGGTGGCCTCACACCCTGATAATACCCTGTGATGGAAATATGTCTGAGTCCCAGGAAGACTTAATCTACTTTGCAGTTCATTTTAGTACAGGTAGTCCTCACTTGATGGCAACTAAGCGACGTGGTCGTAAGGCACAATGTCATATGACTGTGCTGTTTAGTGACAGAAATTCCAGTACTCCTGATTGCTGTCGCTAAGCGAATCACTGTGGGTTGTTTAGCAAGGACTTCATGTGATTGTCATATGCAACCTACTGCTGGCTTCCCCATTGACTTTGCTTGGAAGAAGCCAGCAAAGGTTGTAAATGGTGATCACATCACTATGGATTGCTGAGATGTTGTAATTGTGAGCCGGGCACCAACCGCCCAGATCTCAATCACATGACTGTGGGAACACTGCAACTGACATAAGTATGAGAACTGATCGTAACTACCACTCATTCATCACTGTCATAAGTTTGAATAGTTGCTGAACAAGTGGTTGTTAAAGAGGACCACTTGTATACATTGTTTTTAACTCTGCTTTTATCTTCTCTTTCCCTTTTTATATTTATTATTATTTACTGTTTTATTGGTTTGATGCATTTATTTACAGTATTTAAATACTGCCAGCTCTACAGGGATTTCCACAGGTTTACAAAACTGAATGCAAACTATAAAAATGATTAAAAACTGTAATACCAATAAACAAGTACCCTGGTGTCCGTATTACACAACCAAGCCCAGTTCTAAAATTCATAATTAATACTAATTAAAAGCTCTGTGACATCTAGGTGTTTAAGATTTTTCTTTTTTATATACTAATTTTATTAAAGATTACAGTTTACAACAATAAAAACTAATACAAATTTTAAAAAATAATAAAAAGAAAAATAGAAGGTGCAGAAAAGAAAAAAAAGAGAAAAAAGAGAAAAGAGAGAAAAAATAAGAATATAGTGAAGAAAAATAAATTTATAAAGAAGTTACTTCCCCCTTTATCACAAGTATAAACAATTTTAGTAACTTAACACCTTCCCTTAAAATACAACAAATGATCTCTTCTTCCCATATCACATCTCTTATTTATAAACAAATCCATAAAACCTCGTCATTTCAGTCCTGATGTCAGCAAAAGTCCATTAAGGGTTACCAGAGATAACACCATATCTATTTTAACCATGATCAAATAATCCAACTTTATATTCCTTTCTTTTCTTGATCTTTAATCACTTCAAATAATGTCCTAGAACTTGATTTCTTTTTATTTTTACTTTGTCCCTTCTCACAAAATTCTTCAAAGCTTTAACAAGCCTCTTTTGTAAATCCAATGT